TAACTATATTCCTATGTAATATTTTCACATAATTTCTATAATAAAAGAAGAAGCGTAATATACCATAATACGATAAGTTTTGAAATAAGTTTTATAAGAGTTGAAGAGAATAGATATGCTTTTCTATTACGTTACGGATGTATCTGTTAAACCATAATTAAATTTGCTATAAATAATGGAAAGAAACGGAAACAGTTTTTTCTTCATACAATCTTCTTAAAGTATTCTAATAAGTGTTTAAAAGTTATTTTGTCATTGTGGTTACAACATTGAATGAAATAATCTAAATTTTTGTTTTTTTGAGAGGAATAAAATATAAATTGCATACATCCTGTATATAACATTAATGTACATGAATGTACATTTTTAATATATTATATTTATATATATGTATATATATATATATATATATATATATATATATATAAGAGTAATGTGTGTGTATATATATTACACATTAATTCATATAATTCATATAATTTAGAAAATCCTCTTATTTATTGCAAATATTCAATATTCTCATTTAACACTACTTAATAAGTTTAATATGTTTGAGGAGAATAAACAAAACAATATTTTTTATAGAAAGAATATCTTTTACATTATATGTAAAATTTACTTTTTTGTACTGCTTAATAAAAATATTTAAATATTTAAAATAACTTGTGTTGTTTTATTTAAAAAAGATGAAATACTTTATCAAGAAATAAGGTTTTTTTCTTTTCTATATTTTTATTTTCTATATTTTTTTCTTTATCAGAATAATACACATACAGACACAAATATATTTTTAATGGTAATACAAATTGATAGTCGTAATGTATGCTAGAATGAAAATCAGACACTATATATATAATAAAAATATAATATATCATAATTCGTAATTTATGAATGTATATTACCATCCATACTAAATAATAACAATTTTATCCAGTGTGAAACCACAGTGAAAAATATTTTGAACTACACAATTCTATACTTCTAAAATGAACGCAGATGGCGGTATCAGAGAAAAGACTCTCTGATGTAAAGGCTATAGCACACACTTTCTATAAGACATAACAGTAAGATTTCGACCAATCGCGTTGCTCAATTTGGTTACGGACGGCCAAACTGAACAACGCGATTGGTCGAAACCTTACTGTTATGTCTTATGGAAAGTGTGTGCTATAGCCTTAAATGTCACCAATATAAAGAACTTATTCACACCAGAGAGAAGACTGTATATCATGGCCCCACTTTTAGATGATTCCTGAAAGTGATATGCCCTCTATGGACATTAAAAATGTGGAACTATGAAGCCAGTATCCACGAATGTCCTCAGAGAGTAACATGTAATGTGTACAATTTCTGATTTTGTACAATGCTATGTACATTAAATGACCGGAAATAAATTAGCGCTGGAAGTTCATATTTTTTAATAAACTATAGCTCAAACGATTGCTCCGTCCGAACAATTGCCCCCTTTTTAAAACTAATAGTTTTTTTTTAATATTTCCAAAAAATGTAAAATTTATCATTTTCACTGAAGAACATATTAATGGTTTTCGGCAATTATATCGGGTATAAAATGATTGCTCCCTAATTGTTCCCTATTGCTCCATTGTTAGTTTAACGATTATTGCATTATTTTATCGAAAATTAACAAATAAATTATTTCACAAGTGACGACGTCTATCTATCATAATACAGTCTGAATATAAATGATAAATAATTTATAAATTACTTACCGCATATTGTTGCTCCGTATGTTGTCCAGTGCTTTTTCAGACTTGCTTTTCCTCTTTGTTATTTTTTTGTTGCACTCACATTCAATTCCGAAAACAAGATTAAGATTAGTTAATTAAGATGAGTTTTAAGATTGTGAGCCATTTTGGCACTCCCGATCGCGTAATAATTAAAAATTTAGCAAGTATTAATAATAATTATCATAGCAAATTATGTTTCAATATTAGTCGCGATTGCGTTTTATTGTTAGAGAGAAAATTTGATAATATACGAAGTATTTTGCACCTTACTCCTCGAATGTTACCATGTGAATGATATCAAGACCGTGATATGTAAACACGCCGCCAAGGCCGAACGTGTTATTGTCCATTCATTGCCGAAATATTTTACGTACTTTAACATATACGGAATATTAAAGTGTATAGGAGTGTTTTAGATTATATAGAGTAATTAAATAATATTTAAAAGGATTGACGTATCATGAAGCTTTTCATTATGTTAATTACTTCGATTTATGATTCGATTGTTTTGCTATGCGTTTTGAATTTAAATTACATTTAAATAATAGAACGAGAGAAAGTGTCGAATTATATTTGATTTTATAAATATTATTAAAATAATAATTTCTGCTTATAAAAATCAATTTCACATCGAAAATATAATTTGCTGTAAATATTAATAAAAATTAATTGATTAAAAATTAATTAACACATGAAACTGTATCGCATCGATAAATCTTTATCGAATCGCAATCATTTATTATCAATATATAAAACATTTCGGCAACGAATTATCGATAACACGATGTTTGATTTTGGCAATATAAAATGTAAACAGTAGCGCGCTATGTTACGGCTTAGTTATCATTCGCACGGTGACTCTCGAGTAATAAAGTAACGGTGAGAAATGCTTTATATATTGTAATTTTTTTTACTAAATACGATTATGATTATTATCAAAACATAATTTGCTATAAATATTAATAAAAATTAATTAATTAAAAATTAATTATTATATGAAACTATAGCCATTTGCCGTGCAAAATGGCTCATATATTATATGAAACTGTATCGCGATCAAATATTTCGCATATTATAGACTTATTTATTCGTCACGTTTTCTCGTGAATTCGAGTCGCAATTTATCTTATAAAGATTCGCAATTAACTCGGACAGTGAATACTGTATTCGTAAATGTTACAGTCATCAAATTGTCTGTCAAAATATCTTCGCATTTATGTGATAATTATATCGCGCACGATTATAATGTCTATTAAGGCGTTTCGATTATTATATTATAAAAAATATGCATATTACAATCGAATATTCCGAATATTATCGAATTATCGTTACGTTTTCTCGGGAATTTTAAATCGCGATTTATCTTATAATTTAATCGTTGACTTATACATTGAAGTTTTATTTATCTTTCCACGTCTTTGAATATTGTTTTTAATAGTTCGTACAAAATGCTGGTAGTACAAATATTTTCTTTTATAATTTAAAAGACGATCGATAACTTAATGACTGTTTTAAACGTGATTCTTTATATTATTTAAATCTTATTAAACACTACAATTACATCGATTATTAGAAGGACTTTGAAAATCATTCGTTTTATTATTTTCTATTAAACGTGGCCACAACGAGATTTTTAATTATATTTTAAAGCTTATAGAGCTCATTTCATCTCATTCAGTTAATCATGCGCGAAATAGGATATGTATTTTATTCTCAATCGTGAAATTCGTATAAAGTCGCGTATTAATCGCAAATAAATCGGACAGTGAATTTTATGTTCATAAACAATACGAATCACGAATGTTTGCCAAAATATCTTCGTCTATCATCATTTGTGTGATAATAATTATATTGCACACGTGTCTATTGATGGTTTTGATTATCATATTATAAAAATTATGTGTCTCGCAATCGAATTTCGATTATTATCTATTTATTTATTCATCGTGTTTTCTCGCAAATTTTAAATCGCGATTTATTTAGTAATTTAATTGTTGATTTCGAAGTTTATTCTATCTTTTCATTTTGAATATTTCCTTTGATAATCTATATAAAATGCGCCAAAAATTCAAATACTTTTTTTTACAATCGAAGAAATGATCAATAATTTTATTAATGACTCTTTTGATCACGATTATTTACGTTATATAAAACTTATTAAATTCTATTATTGCATATCTATCAATAATAATAAATGTCGCGTAATTAATCTTCACTGATCAGTCTCGTCTGGATTATGTAAAAATTTTTAATAAATTTTATATTATACGTATATTTTGAACATTTTCGTGTAATAAATTATTCCATGTAGTAAATTATTTTGTTATAAATTTCGAATTATATTTTATATCAAATTTGTGTATTATATTTTGTTATATATTTTGTAATATGTATTTAGCGTAAAAATAATATGCATAAAAATATTATGTTGGTATCAAAATTATAATAAAAATATATAAAAATAATGTTAGCTATATTAAAGTGGAACATGAATTCTTTATATTTTATATAAAGAAAAAGACTTAAAATATTTTGCAACGTCTGTATTTTTCGAGTTTTAATTATAAAAACTTCAGAAGAATCGGTGATTAATTTGACAAATTCTATACATGTATTAATAATTACATTTTTAAATAATTAAAAAAATGATTGATAAATATCAAAGATCAGTTTACTGCTAATTAAGAAGATTTATAGAAATATGATTTGTAAAATGTTTTATCCCACAGCTGACATTTTGTGTTTCGTAAATAAAAAGATATAAATATGACAATGAGTATAGAAAAATATTTATTTCATCTTTGAATATTACAGTATCTTTCGCGATTGAATAATTTATTTACTATCAATTTACATACATAAGTATTATCTAATTGTTATACAGCATTGGTGTTACCGACATTTCGTGCACGGAACAAAACCAGAAATTGTGCATATTATATATTACCCTCTGAGAACATTCATGGACATGGCTTTATAGTTCATGTCCGTTTTCAATGTCCATAGAGGGAGTATCGCTTTTAGGGATCATGACACCTCTCAGTCTTTTCTCTGCTGGCGGTATAAAGCAAGTCTGGGTAAAATCATTCTATAGAAAATGTTAGAATGGTCGTTTTCAGACCTCTCTGCTATTGGATAAAGAATTTCTAGAGTTTAGAAAGTCGTACAATTGTAGCCAATCAGTATGTCCGATAAAGCGTGTCGTATAACAAGTGAAATATTATATCTACGTCAATGCTCAGTGTATCTTTATTATTCTATGGCTGTGTCGCGGCTGATTGTTGACAGTCAACTATAGTGTAACTCAGGCTAAGCTGCAGCTACAGACAGCTGTGTTTGACATATTGAACATTCTTTTCATTATCAGCGGCACTGGAGCCTCATCCGTCGTACGCGTCTCGACGCAGCCTTATTCAGGCAGCTGCGTATCCCGACCATCATCACTCACCGCGACAGATCGAGTCGCATCGTCGTAGGAGTGGACAGACTCCAGAAGTAGGAAAAATGAGGTATTTATTATCGCGCCAAACCTGGCAAATGTCAAAACCTCTTTTGCATATGCATCTCTACTCCAATCCTTGCCATCATCTGATTTTCATCCAATTTATAATCATTCGAATGACAGCATGCGGAAATTCGCGCGATGGCTGCTCAGCGAAACACGGGCGACAGTACGCGAACGAGAACGATAAAGCGCGTCCGCATTTGTCTCTGTCGCCATTTTTCCCGCGCTGACATTTCTACTCGTCAGTTCGCGCCTTGTGTAGCTCTCGCGTAATTTGTAGATTTTAATGAAATTTCATCGTCGAAAAATTGAAATATTCGGCCTTTTTCTGTTGTTTTCAATGATAAGACATTAATTTTTAAATACCGTTTTTTTTTAATTTATCACCTAATGTACATCTATTATTATATGTGGAAATCATGTCATGGCTGTACATAATTGTTTGGCGGGTTGCATATGTAGCGTTCGAATTATAACATTTCGAGAATAGCTGGATGTGTCTTAACAAATATATATTATATACACAAATATGTAGAGCCTAAACATGAGCTGTAGTCATGAAAGAGTTTTTTTAATTATTATTTGTGTGACTTGCATTATATCTATAATATTTATGTATCATATATATATATATATATATATATATATATATATATCAATATCATATATATTATTTATCAATATCATATGTCGCGAAATATTTCAAATTATCGAATGTGTGGTAATTATAAAATACTAATCTCGATTGTTCTAATTAATATCATCCCTGGACCGGACATAGTAGCAAAGGGCTTTTGTCAAATAATATTTTTGCAAGACAATACGTAGCTATAATTAGATTAAATTATATTAATTAGGATTATTTTTTCTTAATATTACATAGATGAGAGAATTGTATTTTTGAGACATTTATTTATTGTAATTTTTTTCATCTATAGTAGTAGATCGCAAATGACAACAATGAATGGGAAGAGGCCCTCTTCAATATCTTCTAGACATCAGCCAGAGACTCAGTCGCAACATGGTGATTTGATTAATTATATCTGTGATTGTAAGTATATGTATGCAATTTAATTTCATTAAATAATTGTGTGTAAATTGTACAAATATATATTTCTGAAAGAAGTTTATTTTATATTTCAGCTTGGAATTCTGTATCTAGAGAGTTAGATATGTGTCATAATCAATCACATAGTAATTCCTCCAATTATAGAAATGGGGCATCAGTAACATATTACCAAGAACATGAACCAAATCCACATTTAAAAGGTTAGTAGCTTTTCTTTCTTAGTTTTATATGAAAAAAATAGTAAAATCTTGATGATTTAATTTTTAAATATTTATTTGCTATAATTTCTGCTTTCTTTCTTAATTTATTTATTGAAAGAGTTATGCAAAGAAAGATTAATTTTATTTATTTGAGATATTTAATTATCTTGTATATTTTTTTTATATATTGCTGTTATTATTATTGTTTTTAATATTGCTTTTCTTTATATAGTAATTTGTTATCTGCTACAGTATGGTGTTCCATGGATGTGTAGGGTATATTTTACATCTTTTTACAGATTTTGAACCTTTCAATTTGGAGGCATGGTGGGGGCAACGTGTTGTGCAAAGTATCACTAGGAACACAAATTCCTAGTGCCAGGCCCAACATGCTGACTATAATCGAACATTCTCAAACAAATATAAAAAACAGAAAAGATAAATTGAGAGTTAATAAATTCAATCTTTTTTTTTATTTTTATTTATAAAATTTATTGTAAATCCAAAACTCTCTCTCTCTCTCTCTGATAAAATATGATAGCTTAGATATATGTATCTACTTATCTCGAAAATAACTTTGAAATCTTTTGATAAAGGAAAGAGGGGAAATAATACGAAAAATAATTGACGAACTTAGCAAAAATTAGAGCACACAAGAAGCAAAAAGAAATATATAATAATACAGTAGAGAGACATATTGCTAAGTGATTTGTTTGAAATATGACGAAATATTCCCCTTATCTTCAATTGTATTTCAATGAAATATTAACCTTCTCTCTTGATTTTTTTACAAGCATATTAAAGAGGGATAAAGGAAATATAAAACTTTTTCTTGTTTGTAATATTGTCTTTATAAAACTCGAGAGGGATATTTAATAATTAAGAATATTATACCAAACTCTATTTATTTATTAGCCACCATTAAATAATGCGCGATATATGTTTATATATAATTATTATTACATAATTTACTATGATATTATATTTTTATTATTATTTAAAGAGAGATACGATAATTATATATATATATATATATATACATATTTACAGTTTTTATCTTCTTGCAATGTTGGGCGATATAAATCTGTTGCTCAATGATGCACAAAGCATTTACGAAATGCTCAACCTTGTTTATAATAAAAATTACATAGCAAATTTTAGGAATTGTAGAGAATATACACGTTTTTAGAATATACACGTAAATATACTTTTACACATATTGCATTTCACATTTCCAAGATTTTTCACTCTTACGTCCATAAAGTGACTGCACTTTAACTAAATAGCTAAATATATGAAATGATATATGAAAAATGAAGTGTTTTTCACTTATGGAAGGAAATTTTAATATGTGAAGGATAGGAGATATCGCACTTGAAATTAATGATTATAATATGGAATAGTATGATAATTACTGTGACTTTAAACAATGTATGTATATGTATATCTATGCATGTATAGCTATCATATAAGTTTAATCACAGATAATGTTTCTAATGACAAAACAATAATGAATAATGTCTTTACATACATGCGAATATTTCTTTTATTCTCTGTTTCCACATTTATCCACATCCTATTTCACATAAATATAAATATCGTTTCATATAAAAGAGAGAGAGAAAAATATTTCGCCAAATTTACATTTTTATATATCTGGGAAATGTAGAATTTGCTAGTGTCTTCTTGGTATGATAACTATCGCCAGCTCGTATACCTCACATTCCATTCGTGAAATGTCACGCGAATAGTTTCCATATCCGGTAGCCCAATGCACTCGAAGAATTCATCGTTTCCTGGGAATTTCGTATACCTTGTTGTATAGAATTGTCTGAATTGAATATCAATCGATCACAAATTTGTTATAGATTCTCATATTAAACATTACATTAAGGATATTAATCTTTTTAGTGAGAAAATTATTAATATTTTATTATGAAAATATATAAAATCCGATTATACTCAAAGTACTTTAAAATTTTATGCGTACCGAAATAACAATAAACATTACATTAATTTTTGAAAATTGGAATCATAGGAGAAATGCCTTCTACTTTTTATACTTTTTCTTTTTTGTTAACATATTGAATATAAATAAATATGAAAAAGGACAAATATAAAATGTCCAGCATTTTATAATAATTAAATCAACTGTGTTAATTAATATGTAGAATAATAATTACAATTTTTATTGTGTATATCTAATAATAGGTGTCATATATAGCTTGAAACTGCGCGCGCATGCGCGTCCGCCATATTTGTATGGTACTCGCGCCACACCAATGTTGCCAGCATAAATACGCTGGCAACATCAAATTATTATCTATATAATTCGTATAATTATCTATTTTAATTATTCATGATGTGATGCAATTTCATTAATAGTGTTTTAAAGAATAATTCCAATATACTTTTTTAAAATTATAAATAATAAAAAATACAATACTTTTGGTATTAAAAATGATCATTATTTATTAAAAAAAAGTTACGTTATACATGTGTATATGTACACATTTAGATTATTCATATACACGCATATAAGTAAACATATATGTATGAATAAAATTTGCGAAGATGACTTACGATAGTTTTATGTCAAATGTACTTTCGTTTAAAAGTGCTATTCTTTTTATGATTATGCATCCATAACTATTAAAATGCAATTCTTGCCGAAGTAACAGAACGTAGATATATATATGCACATATATTTTTTTTACTAGAAACCTAAGTTGACGAATATGGCTGCGGTCGGGAAGACACTGTGGATGCTTTGAAACATCATTCTATCTTTGTTCTACATTCCATGAGAATAAAGATAGAATGATGTTTCGGAGCATTCATAGTGCAATCTTGACCGCAGCCTATGTTGCAATTTGGTAAATATGTTTATATGTATGCAATTTTATATGTATATATGTATGTGCGTATATCGAGTAAATTATAGCATCTTGTATATTCATCGATTTAAATTTCAAATAATATTTCCATTTTATGTAAGTATTTTTAGAACGGTACCAATTGAACAAAATTAATCGTTATTTTATGTGATGCTAATGAATTCAAAATTAAAAAATATTAGATATTTAAATATATTATATTTATAAATATTTTATTTCCTTCATATTTTAAATCATAATTGAAAGAAATAAAAAATATTTATATATTTATATCCGATTTTTCGCAGACATCTGATATCGTAAAGAAAGTTCGTAAACGATATTGCATGAATAAACTTTCCCATCGGAATCGCTAAAGTATTGTGTAACTGCACCTTCCCGATCATGACATTTTCGCCTCAGGTTTGTCCGACAAAAACGTCAGAATTTGAAATGGAAACCTCGGGGACAAGTACGGGGTGTGCACATATATACATACGAAATCGTTCTATCGAATTGCAATCGAAAATCATATCGATTTGATCGAATTTGATCGTCCCAAAGAAATAATGGTATCACTGTATGCCCAATAGTATTTTTTTTGCTTTTTTAGAAAAAAGAGGGAAAAATGTTTTCCCATAGAAACGTCTTTCATGAATAGCACCTTAGAAATCGTTTTCTGAGTGTAAAATATTGTGCACATTTTTTATTTTTTCGATCAATTTATTAAATGATTTTTTATTTATATAAAAATTTCTAATAAATTTTTATCAAAGAATAATGAATTTTAGGGGATAATTTTACAAATATTATAAATATTATAAAACAAATATTATAAAAAATATTATAAAAAAATAAATATATTATAGGATATATTATGCACTTGGATCTTTTGTAATTTTTCTTTTACACTTTTAATTTGTTTTTATAATTAAATTGAAATTTATTATATTTTCTCATTAAATTTATACGAAAATTATTATATTTTTTCGTTAAAATTATAATTTAAAATACAAAATTTTATATTTTAAAAAGTATGCTTTAAATTAAAATTATTATTGTTTTAAATATTTTTTTGCAATTTTACGAAAGAAAACATTTTTTTAGAAAATTGTTTCATAATTCTGTTAACTTCATTATTACATGTAAAGTGTATCACAGATTTCTCAAATTATTTTTGAATAAATTTTCACGTTTGGTCAAATTTTGCAAAATTGTAAAATTTTCATATTTGTGAAAATCTTTTTTTACAAAATAATATATAATATGTTTCAATGTCAGTTTTCAGAAAATTTAAAATTTGAAAGTTTTATTTTTGTTAAAGTATATGCAATATATATATATATATATATATATATATATATATATTGTTCATTCTTTTTACATTCATTTTTACATAATTAATAATTTTTTAATATACCGAAAATCTAAGAAGGCCTTTCTTCGTCTTTTTATTGTTAAATTTTTAAAGTAATTGGTATAAAAAAATTATAGAGGTTAAAATTAAACAAGAATCATTTGAAAAAAAGCTTTCTGTCTTTTTGTTTAAATAAAAAAATTGTTTTATTTGATATTATTGTTATATTTAGAAGATAATTAAAATATATTTTATTAATAACCTCGGTATAGTCATATAATCAAGACAAACAAATTATTTGTTATAAAGAATTTATTTATTGTTATTATGTCGCATTTTCTATGCATTAAACAAAAAACATAAAAAATAAAGCAAAGCAAGTATATTATTTTTCGATATATTTAAAATGTTCTCTTTTTTTCTTTTTTTCAATGTTATTTTTATTGGAACATTTGATGCAATAAAGATCGCGATGTCAGGCAAAAGAAACTTAAGCTGTAATAATCTGAGACTCGTAAAACTTTCGCATTAACTTAAGGGCCTAAGCATATTTTCTTCATTGTTTCATGATAATACCATTATAAAGACGCTCAAAATAAAAAATTTGTGTATATTTATTGCCGTCAAAGTGAGAATATAAAATTTTCTTAATTTTTTCAAAATATATCTCTGCGATATGAAATTATATACATGCAGTTATTATTTATAATAAAAAAGACAATAAAAATATCGAGAGATACACATAAATAATTATTTATCTACTTATAAATTAAAACAAAAGAGTTCCAAATTGTGCTTCAAGTATGCAAATAGATAATAAAGCAAAAATTATTCTAATTTTTAATAAGAAACACTTTATTATTTTTATATCAAATGCATTTATTAATAACTAACGTGAATATGATTTCTTTGAACTTTTCCATTAATCGTGATTGTTCAGAATATTGCCACAACATTCGCATTATCTTCGAATCGCAAATTTTATCGGTTGCTTGTCAAAGATAAACGAGATATTAAACATGACGGCGTCTCGCCGACGCAATCGTTATGCTTTATTTTTCATCCGTGCTTTACGCCCGACCGTTTTATGCCTCGTACGGCAAGATTTTATTTAGAAAATTACGGTCACAATCTACAATCTCTTTGTGAGAGATTAGACCTAAGATTAGACCTTTAACATTTGTCATCTGTCGATTTTTGCTTTTTATATCATTCAAGTAGAAAAAAGATATAAAAAACAGGGTCGCAATCTCGATAGCTAAATACATGTAGCATCCATCCATCAGAATTATCGACAAATATAGCAGAAAATTATTATCTATTAATAGCGTCATTGATATTCAGGATTTTTAGCATTTGTTGAATATGAATAATAGAGAATCCTCGTGTTAATTTTCGGAAGTAGCAGAGATTTGATCTCTATTCGAAATTACAAGCCGATGCTACAACTCACATTTAATTGTTTAAAAAAAAATATTTCCTCAAAGGGACAGTTGTGCATTGTGTGCGATAAAACGTTCGTTCCGAAAAAAAAGGAGGCCGTTACTAGATCAAATGCATATTAATTAGAGAGAGTACTCTTTGAGCGACGCTGTATTGCGCTTGAAAGTTACAATGCGAGTTTATTCGAAGTTTGCCTATTGCGCTTTGTCGGGAAAAGTTAATAGAAAATGTATTAGATGAAATTCTCGTAATTTCATTGTTCATGAATAGGAGAGAT